TCACAGAATTTCCAGTCTCTTTATGTCTTCATTGCTCTGATCATAGTACTAGTTTCTATGTCTGCACTCAATTCTGCAGCAGTAAATGCCTTTGATTTGAATTCTAAAATTGGTTTATACTATTTTAATTGGAAAAATTACATTTTAATTAAAATTATAAACATTTCAATTTAATTACCAATGATGAGGTACATGTATCACTAAGTCCTGCTGTCTGAATAAAATACTCAAATAAATGCAATACACCGTTAGATAGAACACAGAAAAAAAATCATTCCAAGTGAATAAATTAGGTGACATCAACAAAATCAGTGGTGTGTTTAAGTGTGAAATACACCAGTTAAACTGAAATGTAATCCTAACCAAAACAAGAGAGTTGTGTTTAACAAAAATTTATTTTATATTGCTTCCATTTAAAAAATTCATTTCCTCAGTTCTATTATCCACATCCTAATTGTTCAATAGCCACATACAGCTTATGGCTACAATTTTGGACAGTGTAGTGATAAGCTGTGTTTTCAGCAGTTTACATTTATTAACTTATGTAATTCCCAAAACAACACTTTAAAGCATTTACTCTAATTATCCCCCATTACAGACAATGAAACTTAGGCAGAAGCAATTAAGTAACTTACCCAAAATCATACAGCTATTAACCGGGGAACGGAGGCTGGGATTTAGACCCAGACAGTCTGACTCCAGAGATTCTTGCCCACTATCCCACACTGTTCAAAGTTCAACAAAGGCACAGAGTTTAATGAGAGATGACACAAGAGTGCAAGGTGTTTTAAAAATATAAACCAAACTACTTAGCAATTAGAAGTAGGGAGCGAAGACAGATAGGAAGGCATTGTGAAAAGGAGAAAAGATGAGCTTCAAGATAAATATTTGATGAAAAGGAAAACCAATTTGGCATAAGAAGGAGTGGCTAAGAAGTGTGTCCTAAATGGATAAAAGATGATCGACTGTGGTAGGTAAATAATGGCCCCCCAAAGCATAGCCCCATCCTAATGACTGCATTGTATGAATGTTGTTATCTTATATCAAAACAGTCTTTGCAAATGTGATCAAGATCTTGAAATGTGGAGATTATTTTGGATAGCCCCAAATCCAGTTGCAAGCATCCTTCTAAGAGGGAAGCACAGAGAGATTTCACAGACAGAAGATGAGGAGGCCGTGTGACCACAGAAACAGACCGAAGTGATGCAGCCACAAGTCAAGGAATGCTAGCAGCCGCCAGAAGCCAGAAGAGCAAGGAATTGATTCTCTTCTAGAACCTCAAGAGGGAGCATAGCCCTACCCACAGCTAATTTTGGATTTCTGGCCTCCAAAACTGTGAGAGGATAAATCTGTTGTTTTAGGCCACCCAGTCTGCAATTTGCTGCAGCAGCCCTAGGAAGTTACTTCAGAACTTCTCAAAACCTTCAGCAAATGTACCTTGTGAATGAGCAAGAGGGGAAACTTGGAAGCGGTGTTTCCCAATTTTTTAATGACAGAATCCCTACTGCCTCTGAGGGAGGGATGGTGGTGAAAGAGAGAGATCCTGTTCACCTCTGGCAAGCCCAGTGTTCTACTAACAAGGTCTAGGAAATGCTGACCCAAAACACATTCTGGAAGGGATGTAATTTAGCCAAGTTAAGTCTGAACTATATTGAAACAACAATACAAAAAAATTAAAGGTTTTTGAGAAATGTTATAAAAAGCCAACTCTTAAGGGTGAGGAAATCTAACACATTATGAAGCTGGGTTCCAGGTGACTTCCAAGTGGTAGAATTCATGGCTTTGGGGGACAGAACATGTAACCAGTTGAGCTAACCATCTCAGTTTACAATACAGTAACTTTTATTGCACTCTACTCTAATGAATCCACCACCTCTAGGAATTGTTCCAAGTCTTATGAGGGACAATGACCAACTCCAGTAGCTTCAGAAGGTGATAAATGAGAATGGCATTAAAGAACAAAAGAACAGAGAATAATAACAATCAAAGGGGGAAGGAAAATAGTGGTAACTTCTGGTAACTAAAGGGCTAAAATAAAACTACGAAGGGGTCAGTAAAAGCCAAAAATTAAATACTCAAGGAGAGTAGGATCAGGCAAGTTCCTGATTGATTTGGATATTCTTGCAGAGATTAGATGGCTAGTTATTATACTGCTGTAGGAGAAAATCCACAAGGGTAGGAAGTTGGTCCACAAAACCAATAAGGTTCCTTCAACTCTAAGAGTCTATGCCCCAAACTGGCCACAGACCTTTTTGTCATATCCACATGCGATGTCCATCCACATGGAATAAATAACTGAATAGAAAAAATACTGCGTTGGGACGCCTAGGTGGCTCAGTTAGTTGAGTGTCCGACTCTTGATTTTGGCTCAGGTCATCATCCCAAGGTCATGGGATCGAGCCCCACATCGAGCTTAAGATTCTCTCTCTCTCTCTCCCTCTGCCCCTCTCCCCTGTTTGCGCGCTCTCTCTCTCTCTCTCTCCTTCCCTCCCTCTCTCTCTCAAAAATTTAAAAAATATGTTGTGTTAAGCTTGGGGTAAAATTCAAAATATTTCATAATCTATTGTAGTGTATGCACTAACCCACCAAAATGCTTGTCAGCTTATGTACCTAACAGGTGGGTATTCACCAGATGAATTTCAGTCTTCATAAAACTGTTGACAGTGACCTACAGTTGAACATGGATTTTGAGCAAGCAGGAATATAGAGGTTAGAGGGAAAAATTAACACCACTTAAAACCTGTTTATTTGAATTGACAATAGGTCCCTAAGCTTAGGAAACCACAGGATGGAAGGGAAGGATGACCAGGTAGGTTGGAAACCACTCTCTATAGACCGGACATCTGACCACAAACTGCTAGCAGCTGCACTCATGGCCCAGCAGCCACACACTTGGCACCACAGCCTCTAAAGTGTCCTCTTGGCACCTTCTGCAAACACTACTTACATGCCAGGAAGTCTGGGTTTAGTTTTGGTTCCATTCTCTGTCTCTGTCTCCCTCTCCCTTCTTTTCCCCTACCCCCCACCCAGCATAAATGTGGGTCCCACTGGTTTCAGGCTAATAACATCCACTCAGCAGCAACTGTCTAATAGGTACACACCCAACAATGGGCACTTGTATTTTCTTATGAGGTGGAAGTAAATTATGGCACTTGAACAAAGACCTTATTATCTAAATTTTACTGCATGTTTACTACAAGCCAGTTTCAATTTTATGTTTTCATCTCTAGGCTCTAAGACAAAGGAGAGAGAAAGTTCATTTTCATATTTGAAGTAGTTATTTTCTAAACATATAACAATATCAGGCTAAAAATAGGACCTGTTGCAGGCTGAATGGTGTCCCCCTAAAAATTCACATATGAAAGTCCTAAACCCCCACGAGTTCAAAATGTGACCTTATTTGGAAAAAAAGTCATTGCAGATGAAATTAGTTAAGATGAGGTTACACCAGAGTAGGATGGACCCTAATCTGACAGTGTTCTTATAAAAAGGGGAATCTTGGACGGAGATGCACACAAGGAAAACATCATGCGAAAATGAAGGCAGAGGACTGGGGTGATGCTTACACAAACCAATGGATGCCACATATGTCAAGAAACAATCAAAAGTAAAGGGAAAGGCGTGAACCAGGGATTCTCCCTCATATCCCTCAGAAGGAGCCAACCTTGCTGACACCTTGATCTTGGACTGCCAACTTCCAGAACTGCCAGAGAATAAATGTCTGTTGTTTAAATCATTCCACCTATGGTACTTTGTTAAAACAGCCCTAGGAAACCAATACAGGACTCAAAAGTATTAAGGAGTGCAAACCAAAGGTCATGCAGGGCCAGGGGGAAAGGGTCAGAGGAAAGTTTCTGCTCTTTGCACTTCTAGTTGACTGTCAGGAACTATGAGGTTCAAAGCCAAGCCAGTCCTCCCTCCAGTGTGCTGCCCACCAGCCACACTGGCCTTCCTTGGGCTCCATAAGCTGTACTTCCTGAGCTTCACACAGGCTGCTCCCTCTTGCTCAACTCTCCTGACTACCCTGCCCCCACTGTCCACTTATTAGGACTCCCATAATCGTAGATGTCGGTTCAACCATTGTTTCTTCAGAAAATTCTTCCTGCTATGTTCCACCCTGACTGAATCAGATCTCCTACCTGTCAGAAACACTCAAAGCACACAGTTCTTTGCTTCATATCTCATCATAGTTCAGTGACAATGGGTTATGTGCCTTCCCCACTGGACTGCAGGATCCATGAGGACAGGACCACAATCACTTTGCTCATCATGACCCAGAACACTGATAGGTAGTTGGCACACAACACCTATCCGCTCAATAAAAATTCAATGCGCTTGAGTTTCTAATCTCACAGGTCTTCATCTCAAGCAGACATACCAATGCCCTGTCTACAACTTCTATATCAAAAGCTGTCTTATCAATCAGCTTGGACTCACATCCCACACTGCCAATGGAGATGCACTACGGGCTCTACTTCCTCAGCACTGCGTGAGCTCTCCCGCAGGATGCCTCTCAGGTTCTCAGCTGCCATCCACTTCTCCCAGCACATGGGGCACTGCCTTGATCCTCCCACCCCCAATACCTAAGCCATCACACACCCAGCACACCATGGTAAATGGGCTGTGCTACTCCTACAACTCAACTACTTTCCAATGAAACTTAAGCAGAAATCCAATACATAAAGGCACAAAACTATACACAAAACTATCTGGTTTCAAGGTCAGGAGCTCTGTGGAGATGTGGAAGAGGAAAGAGTCCTTCCCATACACTTTGCCTCCCACTCCTCTTTGTGTCACACCCTTTACCTCCATCCTACCTTGAGGCACCTCAAGGCAGCCACAGGCTCTTCAAAACACAGTTTAGAAACCACCAGCCCTTCTGATTAAACTTAAAGTTTCTAATTAAGAAGCTCCAATAAAGCTCTCAATGAACTATCACTTCCATTCCCAAAAGTCTAACCAAATAAAAGTACACACTTTTAATGTGGGCATTTCATATCCTGGCTCTAATCCTCCTTGCATTATGTATTTTTTCATTCATTGATTCACTCATTCATTCATTCATGTGTCACGTATTTATTGATGTTCTAGAAGGAGGGTTACAGAGATGATCTTTGCCCTTCAAGAGATGAAAATATGGTAGATGAGAGAGCTGTGTCTATCAAAACATGTAATAATAATAACAGTAATAATAAAAATAATGGGCAATATTTATCATGGGGCAGAACTGGTAGAAATATTCTGTAAGCATTAGCCTTCTGAATAACACTAAAGGTAGGGTCTATTACCCCAATTTTAGGAATGAGGAAACAGGGTTCTTAAGAAGATAAAGTTAGGTCGTATAGCTAGAAAGAAGCAAAGTATAAATTAAAATCAGATGTTTTGGGGCACCTGCGTGGCTCAGTCGGTTAAGCATCTAACTTCGGCTCAGGTCATGATCTCATGGTTCATGAGTTCAAGCCCTGTGCCAGGCTCTGTGCTGACAGCTCAGAGCCTGGATCCTGCTTCGGATTCTATGTCTCCCTCTCTCTCTACCCCTCCCCCACTTGCTCGCTGTCTCTCTCTCTCTCTCTCTCTCTCTCTCTCTCTCTCAAAAATAAACATTAAGGAAAATGTTTTTTTAAAAAAAATCAGATGTTTTGACTATATTGAAAAGATATCTGCACCCCCATGTCCATAGCAACATTATTTATAACAGCCATGATATGGAAACAACCTAAGTGTCCCCTGACAGATGAATGGGTAAAAAAGTTGATACATACACACACACACACACACACACACACATATGTGTGTGTGTGTGTGTATGTGTGTGTGTGTGTATATATATATATATACATATATATATATATGAATATTATTCAACCTAGAGAGGAGGAAACCCTGCCATTTGTGACAACACAAATGGACTTTGAGAGTATTGTGCTAAGTGAAATTAATCAAACAGAAAGGTACATATTGTATGATCTCAGTTATCTGTGAAATCTTAAAAAAAAAAAAAAACTTCATTATGAAAGAAATCAAATTTGTGGTTACCAGAGGCAGGCATTAGGGGATTGGACAATGTTGGTCAAAAGGTTCAATTATAAGAGAAATAAGTACTAGGCATATAATGTACAACATAGTGACTACAGTTAATATAGTTAATACTGCCATATGGTATATATGGAAGTTGTTAAGAAAGTAAATTCTAAGACTTCTCATACCAAGCGCAAAAAACATTTTTGTGTGTTTGTGTATGTATATATATTATATCTCAATAAAATGGGGAAAAATATGTTTTGTAACCTTTCATGTGATGGTCAGTAGATACAACCACAGGAAAGACTCAGGAAAAAAGTTTATTATATTCACAAGTCCTAGAAACAAGAAGGCACAGCATACCACATAAAGCCATAATGGAGAAACCTCAGGGTAGTCAAGAGGCAGAAAGCAAAAGCAAGGGAAAAGCCAAGGTCAGAGCCTTTATCAGGGTCTCCCAGGGAAAGGCAACACAGGAGGACAGGGCAGTTTCACTTTGGTAGTCTGAATAATTTTGACAGGCTTTAACTATCAGAGTGGCCCCCAGATGCCTGACACCTAGCCCCAGGATGAGGAAGAAGGAAGAAGAATATTGTATCCTGGAGTGTAAGGGCCCAGACAGAGGACGTGTGGCTCTAGATTGGTTAGTTTGGTATCAAAGACATGCTTCCAGCTGAGGCCTTTGCTATCTCTATTGGCTGGCCCCAGGAGGGGCAGCTAGCTATACCCTAGCCAGAAAGATTTTTAAGGTACTGAAACATCAGAACATACAGAAAGTTTTAAATATGAACAGTACACCAAATTATGTGACTTCAAATCTTCCAACTCCTGTGCCTGCTGCATCCTCAATATGGCAATTATGTGACACTAGGACCAGAGACAAAGTACAGGCCCTAGAAAGAAACATGATGACATACAGAAAAGGTTAGGAAAAGATCCACAGAGAAGGCAGTGCTTAAAGTGGGCAGTAAAGGACAAGTAGGAACTTACAAGAGGGTAAGAATAGAAGACAGCCTTTCTAATAAAAGGGACTAACCCATGATAAGGCAAACTAGAAAATCCAGTCAGCTAAAAGTGCCTGGCTGTTACTGGAGCCAGGGTCCTGAGAGAGCACAGCAGGGTAAGGGTAGAGATGAGGGCAAGGACCTAGTCTAAAGGGCTACTAGCATCACGGCAAGAATCCTCAATTTTCAATTAGGGATATAATGATAAGAAATTGAATAGATACACATTTTAGTTCAACTTCTCGAAAGTTTATTATGTACAATTATAGTCTAAGCACATATAGAGCAGAAAAGTTTAATGCCCAGAATATATCAATAAGTCCTAAATATCATATTTAAAAAGACAATACAATAAAAATACTGGCAAATGCACAAACTGATATATTACAGGAGAAGAAACACAGGGGCACCTGGGTAGCTCGGTCAGTTAAGCATAGGACTCTTGATTCTGGCTCAGGTCATGATCTCATGTTTTGTGGGATGGAGCCCTGCATCAGGTTCTCTGCTGACAGCACTTGCTAGCTCTCTCTCTCTCTCTTTCTCAAAATAAATAAACAAACATTTAAAGACCAAAGAAGAAACACAAATTGCCAGTAATCACATGAAAAAACGCTCAGTCTTCATTAGTAATCAAAGAAATTCAAATTAAAACCACAATGAGATAACAATCTACACCCACTAGATTAGCCAAAGTTTAAAAATTTACTAAAATCAATTATTAGCAAAAATATGTTATGAAGACATATTTGTGTACACTCTTGGTGGAAGTAAAACCCTTTACAAGATAGCAGTCAATTATATTCCAATGTTGAAATTGCTCACCCTAGAGAGACTCCTGTTCATGACACATAAAAAATCTTCACAGAAGCATTATTTGTAAAAGCAAGAAATGGAAACAATTCAGCTGATCAGTAACAGGAAAACTGATGATTATGGTATACTCAGAAAAGTGAGTATTCACAGTAATGGAAATGAATCAAGTATATTTACCCACCTCAAAGTTGATAAATATTATAAACAATGTTGAATGAAAAATATATACAATATATAGCATGACATACTTTTTATAAATTAAAAAATACACAAAACTAAACAATATAGTAATTAGTAACTATTCTTGTATGATAAAACTATAAAGAAAAGCAAGAAATTAGGCAAATGTCATGATCCTGGTTACCCCTGGAGCTTTACAGGAAAGAACAGATAGAGAGCTTTCATCAGGATTCCACTATTTTTTAAGTTAGGTGGTAGATTAATCTGGGCTTTCATTTCCTTACTACACTTTGTAAATTATCAAGATATTATGTATTCATATATCAAGTATTCCCTAATTAAAAATAAATAACAATAGAGGCACCTGGGTGGCTCAGTCGGTTAAGCATCCAACTTCAGCTCAGGTCATGATCTCATGGCTCATGAGTTCGAGCCCTGCGTCAGGGTCTGTGCTGACAGCTCAGAACCTGGAGCCTTCTTCATATTCTGTGTCCCACTCTCTCTCTTCCTCTGTCCCACTTATGCTCTGTCTCTCTCTCCCTCTCTCTCTCCAAGAATAAACACACATTAAAACAATTTTTTAATACTAAATAAATAAATAAGTACATGGCATAGAACAGGTCCTTAATAAACTATAAAGATTATTTCTTAAAATGGAAGAGAGCTAATGGAAAGAGATGGATGAACAAACAAAGGGGAAGAATAACTGGCATGTGGAGGAAGGGAATAGGCTCAAGAGCAAGTAGAGAAGGTCTGGTCTAAACAGGAAGCACAATGGCTCCCCAAAGCTGGAGAGAAGGATGGATGCAGATGGAGATAATTTAGTATTGGAAAGAGAAGGATGTTTCAGGAGCTAAAAAGAAAGGTTATTTGCTAAGGGAGATCAAGTTGCCTCAGGAACCTAGAGAAAGAGACTAAACAGAATACTTAAAGAAGTAGAAGAAGACTGATCAACATAAGATGACTACTGAGTGCCCAAAAGAGATCAGACACTTACGAAGAAAGAGTGATACCACATACTTATTTGGGTTTTTGTTGTGTTTTGTTTTGTTTTGTGTTTCCAAGAACACTGTCATTTCAGCATAAACACAGGAAAGAAAAGAATGGTCAAATTTATTTGGGGTTGAAAGTTTGCAGAGAGGCAAAAAAGAAAGACAAGGACCAAGGAGTTAAGAGTACCACTATTCCAAGAATAATTAAAGTAACTGGCCATTGGATTTAGACCTGGAAGGAGCAGAAGTGAAGCCCCAACATGATAATAACCTAGGAGAAAAAGGAATACTTGAAAGCACAGAAACTTTGATTAGACTCGAGAACAGTAATAAGAGGGAATAGTGTAGATGAGGCCAGGGCATCTCAGAATAAAGGCTTCCATGGACAGGTTAAGAAGGGCATGTAGTTATTTGGCCAGAGATACAAGTATCTGCACACATCACCATGCGACCTTCCACCTATCCAGAGCATGCACAGCATTAGTGCCCACTGGACACATACCTTTTTCCACAGAGTTCTACATAGTCACTACCAATTCACAGGTACTGTCACTTGACCTAAAACCTGCCTTTAGTCCCTGAAGTAATGACTAAGGTTTTCTCCCAGCTTTTAATCTTGAGAATTTTCAGATCTGCATAAAAGTTAATGAAATTGTACAGTAAACGTTAATCTTTCACTTAGATTTACCAATTAACAATTTTACATATTCTATCTCCCTCCATATTTTACACACACACACACACACACACACACACACACACACACACAATTTTTGTTGTTGGGTGGAAAACCATTTGAAAGTAAGGTATAGACATAATGGTACTTCACTCTTAATGATGCTTCTTTGGCATGAAACTTGAAGGATTTTCTCCTGTGTGACCTCAGTGCCATTAGTATAGTCAATATTCAAGCTTCTTAGTTGGCCTCAAAATGTTTCTATAAGTCTTTATTTTTTAATCCAAGATCCAGTTATAGTCTTTGCATTGCATATAGTTGTTACA